GTCTGCCAGGCCCTCTGGCACAAGGTAATAATGAAATTGATCAGCTAGATAGGAAGTGTACTAGAGGTTTCAGAATTCATTTTAAAAATACCATGTTGCCTGGCGGTGGTGGTGCACGTCTTTAATCCCAGCATTTGGGAGGCAGAGGCAGGCGGATTTCTGAGTTCGAGGCCAGCCTGGTCTACAGAGTGAGCTCCAGGACAGCCAGAACTACACAGAGAAACCCTGTCTCGAAAAACCAAAATCCAAAAAAAAAAAAAAAAAAGAAAAGCTTTGCTGTTAACATGGTGTTTTTTTGTTGTTGTTCTTTGTTGTTGTTTGTTTTTTAACAAACCACCCAGCCAACAGCAAAGCTTTAAAGAAAGAACCTCTATCACTTGGCAACAAACCAAGGAAATTGTGAGGCAATGTTGTACTTGTTCATTTTATAACCAAAGTCCATTGCCTACAGGAACTAACCCTAAGGGCACTCAAAGAAATGACATTTGCAAGTGGATGTGTTCCATTTTACAGAGTTTGGCAAACTAAAATATGTGCACCATACTATAGACACATTCAGGATTTCACTGGGCGACTGCCTTAAGGCCGATTCTGTAATTACACATTTGTTAGAAGTCGTGGCCATTATGGGAATGTTCATACAAGGTAAAATGGACAGAGGTCCGGCATGTGTCTCTAATAAGATGAAGCAGTTTTTTTACATATTATAATATCAAATATGTTGCAGGCACAGCACATAATCCTACAGGACAAGCGATTGTGGAGAGATCTAATCATACCCTAAGAGAGATGCTTAACAGGCAAAGGGGGCAACAAAACTCCCAGAGATGGATTACAGAGTGCTTTGTTCACCTTACATTTTTTAATGCTAATGAACAAAAAACTACAGCTGCTGAAAGACATTGGATTGTGGGAAAACTGCTGAACTAAACCAGCCTGTGGTTTGTTTGTTTGTTTGATTGTTTGTTTGTTTTTAGAATATTCTGACATCAGAATAGAGAACAGGAAATGTGTTATGCTGAGGGAGGAGTTGTGCCTACATTTCCACAGGAAAAGAAAAGCTATGGGTTCCTTCCAAGTGGATAAAAATCAGACACGACAAAGGGAGACTCCCTGAAGACCTCAGTGATGGAGAAGGGCGACTAAAATGATCAACAAAATAGGTGATGTTTATGTGGTGATGTTTGTGTCTCTGTCTATAGAGACAGCTCTGGAACTGGCTGAGATTTAAATGTCTATACACAGCCAATAACAATTATTGGGTACAAAAATTCTTACGACTTGTTATTACATAGCATCCTTTAAGATGGTGTGAATCGAAATTTATATTGTAGTTTGATTATGTGATCAAACTAGCATGTAAAGAAAGGCAGTTGTCTTTCCTTATTGATCTTCCTTAACCGATCTGTTCACCCTGCACACACTATGTGAATGTCTTTAAAGAGCTGTGTGTTACTTGTAAGTTTTGTGTACTGAAGAATGAAAGAAGAGAGAGACAGCTCTGACAAGAATCACACTCTGGGATGCTGAGATTCTGGGGCCTTCCATTCCAGCTCCTTGTTTGATTTTACCTCAACTACATCAAAGCTGTTCTTTTGAAGACTTGCTTCCAAGACATTTCCAGAACAGCTAGCTCGCCTATCCAGCCTTTCAGACTGTTACAGTCAGGACTTCAGCTAAGCCATGAGCTTTCTTAACACATAGAGACTGGAAGGCAAATGATGCCAGCTAGCCCTACTTTGACAAAACCAATTTTCCTATTTCCCTAGCACCCCCAGAAGGGAATTCAGCTCAAAGCAGACAAAAGAAGATCGTCGTCCCAGTCCCTTACGTTGGGGTGGGTGGTTCTGGTTATTTTATGAATTATAGATATGTTTAACTTTAAGGGATAGTTTGCAAATGTTGTAGCTTTGGACAGGGAGGAAACGGAGAGCTCACATGCTGAGATTTCTATCTTTCCTCTTCTCTATCCTTCCTTCTTAAGTAAAGGAAAGAGGGGTAGAAGAGTAAGGGGGGACATAGTAATATCATAGAAATTAGAGGAATAGAGAAATATCAAATTCACTCCTAAACAAAACATTGTATAACCATAATCTTACATTGATAGAAATCTTTATAACTGATGCTGTGCCCTTCCCCCAGCCTTGAGCAGGCCTGAGATACTGTATTTACCACAATAGACCAAACAATAGGACTCCAGAGTCATTGCCTGCCTTGGTGCCTCCTTGGCTGCCTGTAGCCTGGTACACAAGCTGAGAAGAATAGACTGCCTGCTGAGCTTGCCTTGAGACATCTCTGGCCTGCCATTAAGGATGGATTCCCCTCACCCCCAGTGGGCTAAAGCAAGAAGGAACTTTGGGGGTTGGGGTGGGCTTTCCCCTTTAAATTGAAAGCTGAATATTAAAGCATTGAGCCTTGATCAGAAACCTTTGTCCTGGCTTCATCTCTTCCCGCCCTCCTGTCCCTTCTTCCATTCCCAGCCTCTCTTTCAGGTGAACCCAGTTGACTGTGGCTGCTGGCCGGCAACAGATGCAAAATTGAAGTTATAATTTCTTACATTAGTGCAGAATTTGCATATTGATGTAAGACTAAGGTTTTTATTGCTATAAATCTGTACATTGATATAAAATTTGAAATTAATATTGTTACTCTCAGATAGGCATTGTGTCTATGCAACTCATTTAAGAATACAAGGCTTAGACCCAGTCCTACTAATAGCTGCTATTACAAACTGTTTAGGATGATTAGTAATACAAGTTAACAGCCAGACAGTAAACTCATGGTTATATTAGATTCTGATTTATTTATGATAAGGTGTTTTCAATTTACTCAAATAGAAATGGATAAGGGTAGTTAAGGTTTAACAAGTCAGATATACTTTACATAGTCTTCAAAAACATCAGAAAGCCACAGAATGTGACATTTAATACTATTTGATTATTAAGAATCATTTGACCTGGAGACAAGTCTGCTCCTGACAGCTTCCCCTTCATGGTTCAAAGAAGATATTGAGCATCTTTACCTCTAGGTGAGGTTGCTTATCATGGCAAGATAGCCACTGGGCAGAAACTGCCTGTGTCATCAGCAGACAAAATACTGTTCAAGGAGGACAAACAGATGTGGGATAGTCAACTGCTAAGCTCTACCAAGACGGAGCAAACAAGTCCTTCATAGTTCCTGCTTCATTTCAAGGTCTGTCAGATGGTTCTGGTCCAGAAGGTTGAAGACAGATGCTCCAACATTGTAAAAAATTGGGGACTGTCCAGGTAGTCAGCTGTCTCTGCAATCTGCTTAACTTTTAGAAGCTATGTTTTGTGTTTCTTATTTACTCAGGTAATAGTTAATTCATTCTCAAATTTCTGTTGGGGTTGAAGACTAGTTATAGTCTCATAAGCAAACTTACATTGTTTAGCATTGAAAGATATGATATAGACTTGAAAGGACGGTTTTCAGATGGTAATGCAAACTAAAATCCGAACATAATTCAGGTATAGAATTGTAAACTCTTTAAGTTAGGATGGATGGTAGAGTGCTTTATGTATATTGACAAATACGATAGGCTAGGTGTTAAGGGTATATTTTACCATTTGCATAATTGTGAGGATTTTGCTCAATTTATATCTGAGAAAAAAGAGCCTTTTATTTGGACAAAAGGGGGGAAATGTGGGTTGCCCTGGTGCTGTTTGTATTTTGATGTTAATTCTGCTTCCTTAAGAAGGGCTACCCAAAGGACAAGTAGATCACATGATGGGGGGTCTCAGAGGGGGAGGAGAGAGACAGAGGAAGAGAAGGTGGAAGGAAGATGGAGAAGCCCCGAGGAGCAAGGAGTCTCACAGCTGGGGAATACGTTAGTACGGTGATAGATCTACCCAACCTAGGCATACAGGTAATAAATATAATAACTGGTTGTCTGTTTTTTACACAGGTTTATTGGGGTAAGAAATTACTGCAACAAGTCAGCTCACAAATATCCATGAGTTCAGAACCAGGGATCCAATGTCCTCTTCTGGCCTTCAAGGGAACAAGACATGTGCACAGTGCACAGACATACATGCAGGCAAAATACCCACACACATAAAATAAAGTAAATAAACCTGAAACAAGAAGGCTGAGTAGGGAGTACATACGTTCTTCTAGAGGACAGTCCCATCCCCAGCACCCATGTCACTATTGCTTGTAACTCCAGTCCAGGGAGATCTAACCAATCCTACGTTACATGTATATATCTGCACAGAGACACACATATGCATAGCTAAAAATAATGGAAATGAGTCTTTTAAAAGTCTCAATTAGGTTTCTGTTGCTGTGATCAAAACCAACTTGAGAAGGAAAGGGTTTGTTTCCTTTACAATTTGCAGGTCACTGGGGGAAGGCAGGGCAGGAACTTGGGGAGGATCCCAGAGGCTGAGCTGATGCAGAGGCCACAGTGCTGCTCACTGTCTTGCTCCATGTGGCTTGTTCAGCTTGCTTTTTTTTTTTTTTTTTTTATAGAACCCAGGAGCACCAGTCCAGGGGTGGCCCCACCCACACAGATAGCTGGGCCCGCCCACATCAATCATTAATCAAGAAAATGCCCTGCAGGCTTATGGATAGGTCATCTGATAGAGGCATTTTTTTTCAAGTTCCTCTTCTCAGTTAACAGCTTGTGTCAAGTTGACAAAACAACAACAAAAACAAAAAACAAACAAGTGGATGTTGGGCATCACACACTTTGAACCCAGTACTTGGGCAGAGATAGGTAGATTTCCATGCATTGGAGGCTAGCCTGGTCTATATAGTGAGATCCTGTCTCAAGACAAAACAAAACAAAAAAGTTGAGCATAAAAAATAAAAAGTTAAATGTAAGGGAGTTGGTGGGGGGCTTTGAGATGACTCAGGGTAAAGGTTCTTACCACCAAACATGATGACCTCAGTTTGACCCCCAGAACCCCCATGATAGAAGGACAGAATGGTCTCCAAGTTGTTCTCTGACCTCCACATGTGGGTTGTGGCGTGTTCTCCACACACATCAACCTTCCTGTTAAATAAATAAGTATTTGTTTCAAAAACTAAGCTGTTGCAATTTGTAAGCCAGTTCTGGGAGGTGAAGACAGGCAGATCCTAGGGCTACATGGCCACCATCCTTGCCTGGGCAGTGAGCTCTAGGCCGGTGGGAGACCTTGTCCTGTCTCAAAATAAAAACAAAACAAGATGGACAGCTCCTGGGCAAAGGACTGTCAGAGTTAAGTCAGAGTTACCTCCTGCTTACACGTGCACCCTCCCCCACTGAAGTCTCCCCGAACCTACCGAAAAAGGCTTTTCTTACAAACTGGCTGTACAACTCTACATTTCTACCACATTTGGAACATCATCCCACATCTGGAACATCATCCCACATCTGGAACATCATCCCACACCTGGAACATCATCCCACA